GGGAGCTGCCTCACTGGAGAGGGCCCGCCTCTTCCCGTGACAGCCAGCGTCTCACAACTGATGGACAGGGTGGTACTGAGGTCTGGTCCTCACAGTCCACAGACTCCGAAAGGCCATCCTGTCTTCAAAACTCCCCCCAGGGTTTGCTGCTGCCTCTACTGAGGCTGTGTGGGACCCGACTTCTCCCTTGGCCCAGTCCTGCCCCTTCCCTTCCTCCCACACATGTTGACCCCCGGAGCACTCCCCAATGAGCCTCTTCAGAGCGGAGATGCCAATCTCCACTTCAGAGTTGGTTGCCTGGGGGCTCTGTTGGCCACATGCCACTTATTGCATAAAGACTGCGTCACACAGAACATCAAGTTCTCATCACGGAGCCAGGCACAAGCCCACAATAAACATTAGTTGTGTCATTCCACAGCCAAAGGCATGTCTTGTTTTCTCACAGTTAAAGATTTTTTTTTAAAAAATCAAAAGATCAAAGAGGCAACCACAGTATGTGCTCATGTAGCCATTCTGACTGGAATGCCACCAGACACAAACAAAAGCAAAAACTATGTATCAGAATCAAAAACTATATATATCAGCTTAATGAGGTATAAGTCACATACCACACAGTTCATCTATTTAAAGCAGACAGTTCAGTGGCTTTCAGTATATTCACAAAGCTGTGCAAACATCACCACAATCAATCTTGAATGATTTCATCTCTTTCCCAAAATACCCTGTACCCATTAGCAGTCAGTCCTCCTTCAACCCCCAGCCCTAGGCAACCACTAATCTACTCTGTGTGTCTATAAATTTGCCTATCAGGACAATTCACATAAATGGAATGATACAATATGTGGTCTCTTGTGTCTGGCTTTTTTCACTTAGTATAATATTTTCAAGGTTTATCCATGCTGTATCATGTAACTATTTCATTCCTTTTTATTGCTGAATACTATTCCATTATATAGATATATCACAGTTTGTCCATTCATCAGTTGATGGATATGTGGGCTGTTTCCACCCTTTAGCTATTATGAATAATGTTGCCATGAACATTGATATCTCAACTTTTTGGTGGATATATGGTTTTTGTTTTTCTCCAGCTTTATTGAGATATAATTGTCATGTAACATTGTGTAAGTTTAAGATGTACAATGTGTTGACTTAATACACTTATATTCTGCAAAATGATTTTCACCATGTCATTAGCTAATACTTCCATCATGTCACATAATCACCATTTCTTTTTCATGTTAAGTGTGAACATATGTTTTCATTTCACTTGGATATACACCTAGGAATAGAAATGTTGTCACATGGCAATTTTTTAACGTTTGGAGGAACTGCACTGTTTTCCAAAGCAGCTGCACCATTTTATATTCCCATCAAGAGTGAGTGATGGTTCCAGCTTTCCCATATTCTCACCAACTCTTTTTTTTTTTTTTTGGCTTGAATTTTTTTTCGGGGGGTGGCAATTAGGTTTGTTTATTTACTGTTATTTATTTTAATGGGGGTACTGGAAGTTGAACCCAAGACTTCGTGCATGCTAAGCACATACTCTACCACTGAGCTATACGCTCCCCCAACGCCAACACTTTTTATTATCTTTTTTATTAGGGCCATTCTAGTGACTATGAAGTGGTGCCTCCTGGTGGTTTTGATTTGCATTTCATTTGTATGCTGAGCATCTGTTCATGTGCTTATTGGCCATTTGTACATCTTTGCAGAAATGTCTATTAAGATCCTTTGCTCATTTCTTAAAACTGGATCATCAATATTTTTTGAATCTCTTTTCTTCTTCTGTAAAAAGGGAACACTACGTTCTTCACAGAGTTGTTGAGAAGATTCATGAGAGAATACTGGGAGGCATACAGTTCTCTCCAGTTAGAACACGCTCCAAAAAGTTAGTGAACCTTCCTCTCACCTAGTCATTTGGCATTACATCACTCTAGCATAGGGTTTTTGCTTGAAGACAGGCTCAATAAATGTCTGAAAGGATAAATGTGCCAATTCACACCACTCAATATTCAAATTTGAATCCCATGTGCTTTGCCCCTTTACTCCCATTTCCTTCATTAAACCTTTTCTTCCCGCAACAATATTTTAAATTTTATTCCCCTTGCCAGCTGCCTCCTCTCCTGAAACTGAATTTGCAGTACTATTGAACCTGACGACGAGAGAACCAAAGACACCACCTAACACAGTTCTGAGGTGAATATGATCAGCCTTTGAAGAAACTAAATAACTTGACAGCCTATCAGTGTAACCTGTCCCCTTTTGGAGAGCTCAACAAAAAGTAATTAAAGTACATAAGAGGTGAGAAAATATGAAATTGACAAAAAAAACCCTGATTGCAGACTGACAGTTACATAACACTTCAGTTACCCTTGATGACCCAGCCTGGTCTGGACCATGGCCCTCTTTTTCATTTGTAGAGGACCCAGGCCACCATCAGGACCAAAGATTCGATGTTGGTGGGGACCTCCGCAACCCCTCCAGGGCTGTGGAGCCTCCAGCGGGCCGGATTTGAGTCGCAGAATGGAAACCATTTGATCACTCAGGCCAAGTGGTGAGTCCAGCTTGATTTCACATGGACTCCGCGCTGCTTTGGTAAACCTCAGCTGGAGTGCTTCGGGTGGGATGGGGGGACGACGTGAACACGCAAGCACAGGTGAGGGAGGGTGCCACGAATTTCGCCTTGGACCTTCTTGAAAGTCAGCCCAATACCACAGACACCGGGGTGAGAGGGTGGGTGTGTGCAGCTGCCTGAACTGAAGGATCTGCTGGATTTTGCCTTCGGCGCGGGGATAAAGGGGAATGTGAAAACCAGGGGGGTTGGGGGGTGTTAGATTCAGCAGCCGGACGTTGGTCTGGGACTCCTGGCTACTCTCTCGAGCCCGCTCTTGGGCAGAACTGAGGCGTGTTTCGGGGAAGGTGGAGACGGTGGGCTCCTGATGTGCGGGGACCGGCTCGAATTCATCTTCGTATCGTGGGTCTAGCACGGTGCACGGCTCAGGCTTTGCTGTTAGCCAAGTTGTGGGAACCGGGCCTCGGTAGGGAACTAGGAGGCGACCCCAGGCAGGACAGCTAGCCAGGCTGCACGCCGACGCGGCAGGGAGCTCGATGCGGGGCGGATCTCTCGACTTAAGCCAAGTAGGAGCAGCAGCCAGGCTGGGCTGGGTTCCCAGGCAGGCCTGGGTCACCGACCCGCCACGGAGGAGCGAAGCGTGGCCTCATTGGCGGGACGTGCCAGCCCGCGCTCCTTATTGGACAAGGGCACTCGTCAATCACTGAGTAACTCAGGCGGGACGCGACCAAACATCCGGGATTTCCCACTTCGAGTTCGAGGCGGGCTCAGGTGGAGGCGGAGCTATGGGAGAATGTAGTACCCAATGGCAATGAAGAGTTCCGCGTTCGCTGTTGATTGGCAGCTGCTCGAACTACTGAGGCACCGCAGAGGGAATACCGGCCCTGGAAAGTGATTGGTCCAATCTGCGGAAGCGTGGTTTTCCCTGTGCATGGTGTATATAAAGTAGGCGATTAATTAACACGTAATTGAATGTGTTTTAGAGAAGGTTTTTTTTTTTTTTTTTGCTTCGGTTAGTAGTTTGGCTTTCACTAGGGCTTCTGAATTTGGTGGGCTTTCCCTGGGATTATCTAGATTATCTTTCCCATGCGGGTTCAAGACTGGAAAGTGATGGGTGGTGGGCCCCAAATTATAGCCGAGATAATCGGAAGTGCGCGCTGTTCGGTGAATTAAAGCTGAGATTAAATGGATGGTAGTCAATGGAAAACAGAGAGAGACAGGAACGGACAGTTTACAGAAAAAATCAAAAGGAAACAAAACAAAAAAACAAGGAGCCTCTAAACACTTGAATGGATGCCGAAACTTTTTAATTATGCCAAAAAAGCAACCTAAAATTTCACTGAGCTAATATTTTTGACCCATCAGATTGGCAAAACCCCAAAATTTGACAAGTTTCTTTGTTAAGGACGTTGCAGTGGCCCTGATAGTATCGATTTTTCTAATCCCTGACACGAACAAATAGAATGTTTACTAATGCTTTCAGCTTGCAGGGTAGGATGTTATCTTGTGGTTGTGTGTTAAGTTCTTGCCATGGGCTCCCCAGGAACTTCTAAGAACAAGTTCTGATTCTGCAGGTACATTTTTTTCAGAGGCACTTCGATTTTCCTGACCAGCAGCAATACTGATACCTGGTGGGACATATGGGTGTCTGTTCGAAATGGGTTTTGTTTTAAGAGGACTTTTCTGGCCACTGGTGTCCAAGTGAGGCAGATGAGGTGATTGACATCACATATACAGAACCTGGCGCTTATCTGGAAATGGCATGAGAGCCACTCAACAATTGCAGCAAGTTAGCAGAGCTTCTATGAAACATCAGAGGCCCTGAGGCTGGGCAACAGAACCCCTACCCAGGAATAGTGTTGAGTACGCCAGGCACCTTCAGACACAGGCTTCCAAGCCCCCACCAGGTGACAGAGTGGTCCTGGTGTCTGCCCAATACCCATCCCTCCTACCCCTTCCTCACAGAGCTGCAATGAGGTCCAGTTACCCCCTCCTCTGGATAGTATGTGTTCAGGGGATGCTGACCCCAGGTGTCTCCAACCATGGTGGTCCCATCTCCTTGCCAGTGATTGGTGGAGGTATGGACACATAACATATTCCAGCCAAGTGGGACCTGAAAAGGGGGTGGGTGTGCACCTAAACCTCACTCCTAGCGACACAAGCAAGAGATGGTCCTTTTCCTACTTCTGGACATGATACCTGAACTCCTGCAGGCATCTTGCAACCATTTTGCCCTAGTCTGCGACAAAAGCCCACAGTGTGAGGAAGACTGAGCCAAGAGAATTGCAGCTTGGGCCCTGACCCTTCTGGGCCTGCAGGTTTTCTGCCTTTGGACTCCTCCCATGACCTAATTCTCTTGTTTAAGACAGTTGAGTTGGAGTTCTCTGTTCTTTGCAGTTGGAACATTTTAGCTGAACCAAGCACAGAAAAGTTCCTTGAATTTATTTTTTCTCATAGCTGTGAGAATTTTGACCCAAGTACCCACAAGTCACATTCTTGCTTCTTTGGTGCAGTCAAGCCCCGGAGGAAGGAGGTGAGGAGGAAAGAGATATAAAGTGGCTGCAGGGAGGGCAGTGCAAGTTCTGCTGACACGCATTTAGGGGGCAGGGAGATAACAACAACTCTGGGGTGGGGGTGGGGGTCCTTGGGACCCGAGAGAGGGCACAAACAATACTTAAATCATAAAATTTTTAAAAAGCAGTGACGAAAAAGATAAAAAATAATTTTAAAGAAAAAGGAAAAAAGCACCGACATTCAGATATAACAGACAGAGAGCAGACCCTCTTGCTGCGTGGACTGTCAGCAAAGGAGTAAAAGCAATTACAGTGACAGATCGGGGAGGGGGGCCGGAAAAGTCCTAACAAGCAGGAGATAGTGGAAGAGTCACTGTACTTGCCGTGATAATTACCAACTTGAGGTATGTAAAATGCCACTGCTTCTTTTAATTTTAGTGTGCTTAGTTTTATTTCAGCAAATAAAAAATATTTTCAAGCTCTCTGGGGTTATCCCTTTAGCACACTCTCCTTAACTCTGTTGGCTATGAAGTTTCCTGCCAGTGGGGTGATCAGAAACAGGGTGGCAGGGAGGGACCGCTGTTACTTCCGTTGTCACGCACTCACTGACTCACAGAAGTGCACTGATGTGCTCAGGGGTCCCAGACACTCTTTGTGAGGTCATTTTGGCATTTTATTGAACGCTGTCTGGGGAAGTTCTCTTTTCCTGCATATGTGCCTGTCTTCTAAAGGACTTTAATCTCTCTAAAGTTTGGGACTGTGTTGCATATTTTATTTCCATTAACAGTGTCTAGCACAGTTCTGGGGGAATTATAAGCACTTATGTAAGGCTTAATTATATACAATGTAAGTCTCATGCTTAAATAAGGGAAACTTTTAGAGGGTCTTAACTCTGATACTGTTGCTTTGTTCCACAATGGAAAGTGAGCCTTTGAATCAGACTTTTTGCTTAAAGAATGCTCGCCTACGGCTTGCTTCCATTCAGTTACAGGAGCTTCCAGAAATCCTTCAAAGGCAGAACAAGGTGTAGTGTTGCTAGACTGGACGCTCGGGCAGCGGGACCTGATACTCATCTTCACCCATGTGGTGGTGGGGCAGGGGCTGAGCCTTCAGGTCAGCCCTGCTTGGCCACTGCCTGCCCAGGGTCTGCACGGAAGGTTTAATTTGGATCAGATGACAGCCTTGGAGGGTTACCTGTGTGACAGCCAGAACCTCACCAGCAGGCAGAAGCCAGAGAATCCAGGGCTTTTCTCCTCTGAAGACAAAGCCCTGATTCCTGTAACACGACACATAAATTGCAAGAACTGAGCAGCTCGGTATATAATAGAGCTCTACACCTACGTACAGAAGGTACAGTGAAGCCTAGAGAAGCCTGAGAGCAGCACGGGCTTGGGTCCTGGGCCAGGGTGGAGTCGCGGCTCGGCCGTGGCGGCGTCTCGCTGGGCGGCGGCGGCCTACATGTCGTAGAGCCGGAGCTGCTCCTGCACGTCGCCGTCGGACATCTCGCCAAACGTCTCCTTGTTGTCCTTCATGAGCTTGAAGATAGCAGCCAGCTGTTCTTTCTGAACTCTGTCAAGAAGAAACGATAAAGAGGAAAAAGATGCTCTCAACCCAAGGGGGAGACAGAGAGACTGCGAGCATCCTGAGGGGCCGGGTCGTGCGCTCTTGTGTATTACCGCATTGCTGTCCAGAATCAGAAAAAAACTACATGGAAAGTCACTCTTAACTCAGGAGCTGGTCTGGTCTGAAGGAGACCTCAATTGGAGGGTTCTAAAGGCTGAGGGTCTAAGTCTTGGGATTACTCTGGAGATTTGCGGACCCCAAGTTATCCCTTGGGTACTTAGTGCTACAGTTTCCCCCCCCGGGCCTCCCTTTCGTGCTGACAGCACACCTCCCCCGGAGGCACAAGGAAGAAGATGTGTTCCATTAAGTGGCCAAAGAGTCTATGAAGAGATGTGTGAGAAATAGCCTTTGTTTAGAGGGATGAGCCAGAAGGAGAGGCAGGAGAGAAATAATTGGCTGGGAAGCAGGGGTGCATAGAGATGTGGGCACTGGGTGCTTGACCCAGGGCAGGGGTGGCCAGCGGGGGCCCTGCCCCTTACCAGGACACTGGCCTGGCTGGAGATTGGCTTTGTGCTTACTATGCACAGGCCGGGGGCTGGGAGCAAAGTCACACCATCTGAGCAGCACAGGACGCCTCCCATGAGCGCAAACATGAAAGGGCGGGGTGAAACTGCAGCCACGGTTCGGTTCTTGTTTGTTCCGCTCTTCTGTGCTGTGCTTGCCGGCGTGGCTGGGCCCTGCGTGCCGGCACTGGCTCACTACTCCCGTTTCAGGCGTCTGCAGTTCCTCCCTCCACACCGGGGCACGGGCCACCCTCAAAGGATGTACACCCAGCGGCAGGGTCTGCTCTAGTCACTGCAGACCTGTCCTAAGGCAGTGCTTCAGCACAGCTCCGGCCACATGGCTCTGCAGGCAAGGTGCTGCGGGGCCGGCACCCCAACCCGGCCTAGAAGGGGTCCCAGTGTCTGGTCTCACACTTGTCCTAATATGTTCCTTCTGCAGTAACCCCTTAGCTCCCAAGCAGCAAGCTGGTTTTCTGACTAGAGCAGCATCTAGAAGCTGAAATACCAAACGAAGTCTCAAATCCAAGCCTCACTTGGGGAAAGTTATTTCTATAGTCTGCTTTCCTGTCCGGAGAAGGAGCCTGTGATAAATACATGGTATCCTCCTGTCTGAAAAAAGGAGTCTTGTGAATTGACAGGCTGTGTGTTGAGCTCCTTGGATGGAATCACAGTCCAGATGTACGTGTGGGCACCCACCCCCAGATGAACACAGATCCTCTCCTGTGTCTTTTAATGGCCGTGGCATTTGCATATTTTTAACAGGGTGGACCTCTGCTGGAGAGTAACAGGCACAAATTGAGAGAGAGCTCAGAATTTAACGAGTTCAAAAAAGATTATTTAAAGGAAAAAAAAAAGCAAAACTGAAATAAACACACAGTAATC